CTCTAGGTTGGAAACAGCACTTGCATAAGTTGTTTTGGATACTTATGCTGATAACACAGCAGACTATTGCTGCTCTTTATAAATTAAGTTAATACTGTATCCTTCTATGAAATATGCCACGATGTTCCTGCAAATTCTCTTTACAGCACAATTTAGAATTGTCTGGCCCTTTAACAGCAGATACAGCAATATAAGCACTGCAAGAATGTAGTAGATTTACAACCTGAATCAGCAAACCACTTTCTGAACTCATTAAAAGTAGTGCCCCAGAATGCTACTGATATATAAACTAATACTTAGCTCAATATCCAAATTCTTATATTAAAGAGGACATTTCTAGCTATATGTATCAAGCTAGCCCCACTGTCTAGACACCACTGCACTATTTTTGGTCCAAAGCTACTGCACATCTGAACCAATGGCACTAAGCAGTTTGAATGTCCCCCATTCATCTATATGGGTTGCTACCTTGGAAATCTAATTACTACTGAAACATATTAACCATTTCACTCCTGACTGTACAAACAGGAAGAACATAAAACTGGCCAAGTTCAGACCAATGATCCATCTAGCACAGCAGTGGTTCCCTCTAACATTTTCTATCCTTGGGCAGGGAAATATACTAAAACAAGGGATAGTTAACAAGGAGCAATGCTTATGATATTTAATATGAAATCAAATAAAGAAAATTAACACTACCCTTGGAGTACATAGATCATCATCCTAACAACTCAAGCTAGTAAACACACCTAAATGCATATTATCCACACACAGCTCAGTTTCAAGATGCTAAACAAATCAGTCAACTAGAAATATTTGCAAGGAGAGCCTGACTAATACAATTTTACTGACACTGGAGAGTAAAAGGCATTCACTAAAACGAAAAGGTTACATCTACACTGGCAGCTTCTTGCGCAAAAACTATTTTGCGGAAGAGTTCTTGCTCAAAGAGTCTTCCACAAGAGCGTGTAAACACTGCCATGTGCTTTTGCACAAGAGATGTGCTTTTGCACAAAGGCATCAATGGCAGTGTGGATGCTCTCTTGCGCAAGAATGCTCTGATGGCCATTTTAGCCATAGGGGTTTCTTGGGCAAGAAATTCAGAGCTCTTGCGCAAGAGGGCTTATTCTTCGTGGGGAAAGGAATAACTCTTCCGGAAGAAGCCGTTTTCTGACACTAGACTGTAAATTTACTTGTGCAAGAACGGGTGTGCAGTGTAGACACACAGCAAGTTTGTGTGCAAGAACAGCTGATCTTGCACAAAAAGCTGCCAGTGTAGACGTAGCCATACAGTTTCTCTAGGGCAGTGGTCCCCAACCTCCCCCCACTGCCAGCACCCTTCCTCCTTTCCTCCACTTACCCTATGCAATTAGCCCCTTACCTCCCTTCCCAGCCCAAGAGTTTTGAGGAGATTAGGTTGCTGGGGTTCTGTCTGCCCCCCCTCCTCCAGCAGACACTTCCAAACTCCACTCCCCTCTGGCTTCCCCCAGCCAAGCCATTTCATGAATGACTTCCTCCCCCCTTCTTCCAGGGGCTTATTCCCTCCTTATCTCCTGTTTCAAGCATGCAGCAGCCCTGTTTAGCTGCTGCTTACATGCCAGGCCACCCACTCAAAGAATTCTAATAGACTGGTGAAGCATGATTTCCTTTTAGAAAGGCAGCATAGACTCTTCTCCAACAGATCATGTAACTGTATGTCTGATAATCCTGTTCTTTACTATTATTTCAGCTAGTTTGCCAGGTACTAAAGTCAGATTTATCAGCTTACAATTACCAGAATTGCATTATTTTTAAAAATCAGTGTCACATGACCTATCCACCAGTCATCTGGCACAGAGGTTGATTTAAGCAATAGAATGCATGCCACAGTGAGAATTTTGGGTTTGACAGTCCTCTACTCCGTCGGGAATGATAAGCTTTCGACTGCATGCAGGCATGAGCGTGCTCCCACTATCTAAAGCTGTGATCACTAACCAATCGATCATGATCGACTCGTCAATTATGGGGGCACTGCCAATCAATTGCAAGACAGTGTTTCCAGCAGCCACCTGCTCCTCCCACCCTCAACGAGAAGCCCACGCTGGCACTACAGTCTCTTGCAAAAATTGAGCTAGCTCCAGCTTCCTGTGGCATGGAGGGGTGGGGGGTTCAGCTTCCTGAGAAGCTGGATCTGGCGCAGAGCCTCAGGACTTCCACCCTAGGCCACAGGAAGGAAGGTAGCACAGAGGAGGAAGGGAAGACAAGAAAGCACGCGCTCCTCCCCTTCCCACAATAGCACATATGCTTTCTTGTCTTCCTTTCCTTCGCCATGCTCTGGGGAAGGGTGGGGGGGAGGTGGCGGAGGGAGGAGAATGGGTGCCTGTTAAGATGGCAGCGCAGAATCCAGAGTGGCTGGATTTCTTAAAGAAGCTACATGTGTACTTCTTCCAGTGCTGCTTGCAGATCCTGCCCCAGAGATCCTTATCTCTGTAAACCCCCAAGTACTGGCCAAGCTGCTCCTGCCCCCTCCCCTGGCCAGACTTCCACCAGCATCCTGGCCCCATGCCAGACCCCCACCAGGATACTGTCACTGCTCCCTAGTCAGACCTCTACCAGAACCCTCCCCCTGTTCAGACACCATCCAGTACCCTGCTCCTGCCCCTTGGCCAGACACCCACCAACACCGTGTTCCTGCCCCCTCTCTCCTG